TCAAAGTTTGATGCAAAAACGCATGATCGCACCGGCTCGCCTGGTGCGTTCCAGCCTGGGTTATCTACTAATGCATAAATAACTAGTGTGGTATAAGTAAAAACCGTAGTAGTTCATTTGTACTTTGAGAAGTCTCACTGCTGCAAAAAAGCGTTTGAAAAAATATTTTCTTTCAAAATATATGACAGTAAAAATTTTGAGTTTGAGGATTCTCGTGTGACCAGAAAATTTCACCATTTCCATTATTTGATAAATATTCAGAAATTCCAATTTTCAGACCAAGAGTTCCGGAATTTCTTCAATAAGTAATTTGAGTTTCAGCAAAAACTCGCGAGTTTTCACTGCCAATTTTTGCAGGAGACGTATGCGCCCAGCCGCCGGCAACTGGCATTGGTAGGGCTCACTTGCTACGATGGTATTTCGATCCAGTACGCGACCAGTGCCGTAATTTTGATTATACAGGCCGAGGAGGCAACGAAAATAATTTTCTTTCGAAAACAGAATGTGAAATGGTTTGTCCAGGTCCGTCTAGGCGGATATTCACTGAAAAACTTGAATCAAATCTGCAGTGTCAGCTTTCTCAAAATGCATCATTTTTTTTGTTGTTGTTTCTCAGTACCGCTCAAAATTAATTAAAATCTAGGATTGCGAGGCTACTGTAGCCAAGGAAAGCCGTTAATCATATCAGGCGAACTGAAACATTGCGATATCAATGCTCCCTGTCCAGAAGGCTATAGCTGCTATGCACCGAGCCGGATACAAACGTTGCCCGTTTGTTGCCCTGATCAAAGTATTTTTTTAACTCCATCGCTGTTTGCGTTATTTTTTCAAATGCTACAAAGATTTTATGAAATAATTAAAATTATAGTGTGCACTATTCCTCTGGTTGAAGAAACGTAACCAGCTCCAAAGTCAAGAATTTCAAGTCTGTAGCAGCTCACAAGGTTTTACTCATGATCACAAACAGAATTATTAGCCTTAACTTTGCCTCTCGGTTTACAGAGGCTTCAAATGCAATTTCAGTACCTGATATAATGGAATTTCAGTACCTAATCTCAGTATGCCAGTTTCAGTATCTGATATTTTCCGGAACTTTTCGTGATATTTTATTAACAAACAAGATGAAAAAAGTCATGAAACTGGCATACTGAGATTCAGTTCGCTATAATCCCAGTTCAGCAACTAGAAAAACTGAGGAAGAGTCCTTCTTTATTCATAACTGTGCGAGTGATGACAACTATGACTTAATTTTAAATGAGAAATCAATTTTAGCACTCTCAATTTAAACTCCAACCCTTCCGTTCATTTTTTTCCCCACGTCTTTCCTTTTTACATCTAACCCGTTTTGTAGAATTGGAGATATCTGCAGTCGGCGTAATGAAGTTGTAGCAGGCGACACTTGTTTATAAGGCTTTTGATGCTTTCCCCTATTAAAAGATACTTGAAAAGCGCCATTCGATTGTTTTGAATGCCAATTGCATGTATAACAACTTAGTTAATTTACAACAGAACAATTTAGAAAATCATAGAAAAAGTGATTCTGCCAATGGATTACATCACGTCACTGACTTTCGGCTTATAAAACCATAGATTATAACACAGCTACGTAATACCATAAATCATAACGCAGCTCAGTTACCGAAATGTAACTAGGGAACAAAAAGAGAGTTCCTTTTTGTTTTGAAACAAACTCAGAGCAACTGTAGATGGATTAATTCTAGAATAACATAATAAATAATCTGAAATCTTTGCCGATCGCCAATGAGATCCGGTTTTAAGGTCTTTTGTGTGTCCTACCGTATGGGCCCTGTGTCGACGAATCGGGATTGCGGTTTCGCAGTTATCCGTCAGTAAACACGCTTGA